AGGAAATCTTTGATATTGGGCACACATTCATTCAGGGACCAACCTTGACTATCTTTCCTTTCATCAGTAATTATCGTGGGTACTTTATCGCTGCATTTCCTGACTCAAACCTGATAACATCTCCAATTCATGGTTACGCTAATATAGTTTGCATATATCAGGTAATTAGTTCCACCTTCTAGAGTCGCTGAGTCACAACACTGTAGTCAGTCTGTTTCGCTTTACCACATAACGGAAATAGACAAATCATTTCAGCACTCCTACGTGAAACTGCCTCTGGGTAAGCTGAATGTAGGTCACAACTGATAGGTCTGTGATGAGAAGCCACGATTTCAGGGTACCCTGTCACCTGCTTGTTGGATTTAACCTTAGCCTCTCTAAAACAAGGCTTTCTTGTTCCAGTGAAAATTTGCCAACATAATAAAACTAAACATTTTGAAGTGAATAACATTTAAAAAGTATATACAAAAACTTTACAGACCTTATGCCATTTAATCTTAAAACAAATTGGTGAGTTATCTTCATCTGCAAGATGAGGAATACAAGCTCAAAGAAGTTCAATTGGCTTGCTCAAGGTGGAGTTAGGATTAGAACACAGGCTACCATAACCCCAAAGCCAGTTGTTCCCAAATTACTTGAGTATCAGAATCATCTGAAAAATTATATATATAGATTTCTAGGCCATCTCTGCATAGTCTCCCTCTGTAAGTCTATTCATATTTGTGGTTTGTTTTTATTTTCTAGGTGGACTTCAGCCAAGAAAAGAAACTAAACCAAACCATTTTTATAAGCCAAGGAATGCGTTAAGTGGTATAATAAATATTATAGCAGCTTATCTTGAGCTGGCTTTCTGAAGTAATTATTTTCTCTGTCAGGCAAATAATATGGAAAGAATAAGAGAGACTGAGGTAGTGTAGCTACAGTGATGGGCTTATAAACCGCCTCCCAGTAAATGGGAGAAGACCTGATTTATGGCATCTGCTGATTTCGGTGGTGTAAATACTCCTACTATGGCCAATTTCAAACTACTGGTAACTTTAACAACTTGCTAACAACATTCTTGAATATCTAATGATTGGCCCATGAGTCAGCTCCAACATATTACTGGCATGTAGACTGAATAGGGGAGAAACTGAACAATTTCCCAGCATTATCTGAATTGTCCATTATGTGGTTTGAATTGGTGTAAATTCCCCAAACGTTACCCTACCTGTTGGTCTCGTGCTGATTTTCAAAGGTGGCTCAGTGTCCCCCAAGTCCTCATTTCTCAATTTCCACATACGCTTTATATGGATCTAGGGCAGAATGAAACCACGGATGGAGACTACTGGGTAGAGCACTTCCTAGAAGAGAAATAGATGCCATCTTTAAGATGACTGCTCCTTTGCTCTTACCTGCCACATGGCAGGGGTAGCAGCATGGGGGGCTGCCTCCTGTGTGAGAGCATCAGGGTGGGAATGAAACATGACACAGGATTTAAAGAAGCTTGGCTCGGATGTGAGGGCGATCTGGCTGTGACATCTGTCACCCCATTGATCGCCAGGGTTGATTCGGCTGATCTGGCCGGCTAGGCGGGTGTCCCCTTCCTCCCTCACCGCTCCATGTGCGTCCCTCCCAAAGCTGCACGCTCGGTCGAAGAGGACGACCATCCCCGATAGAGGAGGACCGGTCTTCGGTCAAGGGTATACGAGTAGCTGTGCTCCCCTGCTAGAACCTCCAAACAAGCTCTCAAAAAGCTTGGCTCTAAGCCTGAGAGCAAAGGGCTGGGTCTTTCTGTGCCTCCACTTGCCATGGGAGAAAGACATGTATGGTTAGATTGCGGGGTCAACATTAGCAAGAAAGTGCATCAGCATGGAGCTGAAGAGACCAGCAGTCTTTTAGTCCATGAGTTAAGCTCATGGGGCAAGTTGGCTTCTCAGAGACCCCATGTGGCCAGACCCATTGGTGCACAACTCGAGCTAGTCCAATGACACAGACTGTTGTTTGGCCTGGAGTAGTCTGTCGGCAGAATCCCACCTTGGGAAACTGAGTGATGGTGGTTTGACAGATTGGGCTCTGAGCACAATAACATGACTACCACCATCAGATATAAAAGTACCAAAAACATATTCCAAAACCAAATAGAAATAATTCTAGGATCATCTACCATTTTATATTATTTGTTCCTTTGGTAAACTTCTAGAAGTCAGGATATTTTGTGGATGTCTGATATGTGCACGCACAATTATAACAAAAATATATAATCCATCCTTGAGCTCCCTAAGTAGCCAATCAACACTGTTCTGCATAAGGACAAGCTCGTTTTGAATATTAATTTGCTTTCATTCTGGTGGAATCCATTTGTACAATAATTCAATGCTCACATACTCTTTTTCCCGACTAGAAAAGGTAGACATTTATCTTCCAAGAAGGCAAAGTGGAAAATTAACTCCCAAATGAATCAACGAGAGAGAGAATTGAATAACAGTGGGACTTGCAATTTTAGCATACACACTTCAAAGGAGTTAACGTGGGTGGATTTCGAGTAAGGAGACCTAGATTTAATTCACCAGCTTTGAGATCTTGGGCCAGTTATTTTATCTGCCTTCCCATCTGTAAAATGAGGATATTTATGCTTAAATCTCATGGTAACATTTCCTCCTACGTACCAAGCATATTTATCATGTTATTTATCCTTAATCCTCAAAACCATCTTTCAAGGGTTAACCTGGGAGTTCAGAATTCCATGGGGATTAGACCAGAAATTAATATGCAAAACCTCCCATGTATGTGTTTTGGTGTATTTTTTTAAGGGCTATCAAAAACAGATACACTGAGAATCTCAATAGCTGGGGTGAAGATGGGGAAGGGGGCAGGGGTAAGAGCAGGTAGGTGTATGCATTTTAGAAAAACCTCTCCTTGCAATTCTGCAGTTGGCTTCCCGTGTGGCTTGTGAGATTTAATTTAGACAAAAAGACCAAGCCACCAGTTTATAAGATTTATTTGGGTATATACTGAATATTCAAAGCAGAAGTTATATTCAAGGTGAATAAAAATGGAATTACCAGGATATTCTGCAGAGAAATGAAAGCGTATATCTATACAAAGACTTGCACACAAATACTGATAGTAGTTTTTTTCATAATAAACCCAAACTGAAAACAATGCCAAAGTCCACCAGCAAGTGAATAAATTAAAAGGGAACATGTGCACCAAAACATGGATGACTCCTAAAAGTATTATGCTGAGTAAAAGCAGGCATAAAGGATGGCTCCATTTATATAAAATTCCTGTAAACTAATTTATACCGACAGAAAGCAGATTACTGGTTGCCTTGGGGACCGGGGTGGAAGGACAGACTAACTGCGAAAGAACATGAAGAAACTTTTAGGGTGATGGAACATAATGTATCATGATTGTGGTGTTAGTTTCACAGATATGTACATCTGTTCAAATTCATTGAGCAGTAATTTTTTTAACAATTGCAGTTTATTGTACAGAGAAGTATGTTTTAATAAAATAAATAAATAATTGAATTTGCAACCCCAGCTCCTGAATACTAGCAAATCTCAAGGAGCAGTTATCATGTAACTAAGACTACTTACTCACCAACTCAAATGCATGTCATCTGAGTTGCCCTTAGTATGAGCGATAAAACAGTATGGGACCCTCAACACTATTCTCTCCCCCAGGCCACTGAATAAAGTTTTTTTTTTTTTTTTTTTGAGACAGAGTTTCGCTCTTGTTACCCAGGCTGAAGTGCAATGGCGCGATCTCGGCTCACTGCAACCTCCACCTCCTGGGTTCAGGCAATTCTCCTGCCTCAGCCTCCTGAGTAGCTCGGATTACAGGCACACGCCACCATGCCCAGCTGAATTTTTGTATTTTTAGTAGAGACGGGGTTTCACCATGTTGAACAGGATGGTCTTGATCTCTTGACCTCGTGATCCACCCGCCTCGGCCTCCCAAAGTGCTGGGATTACAGGCGTGAGCCACCGCGCCCGGCCTGAATAAAGTTTTTAAGAGAAGCGGTCAATAATAAATGCAGAGCTAAATTGTTGCATAGAGACTGGGGTCATGACCTTGTCCCCATAAGAACCATATCCTAATCCATGTAATACCTGATAGATCAAGTTATGTGGTGTGATTCACTCCAATGGGTGTACCTAGATTTTACATCTATAGCTTAGATAAAATAGACTGTGAGTTATGCAAAATTCCCTGCAAGCTAGCTATAATTCCTTTCTTTACCATACATCAGCGGTCAACCCATTGAAAACTCTGTCCTAACCAACCTTTGAGGAAGAGAATAATGATATATCTATATGTCTAGAGAGAAAAGTTCAAACCTATTTTGCAATTAATATGCCTCAGTGCAGGTATGTATAGAAGCCAATTTGTGTTCTAAAGTCCAGTTATACTCCAATTTCAAACTTTTACTTTCATATTTAATGCTGTAGCAACTTTTAATGAACAAACCAGTTTAATAAAGGTCAGTGGAATTTAGGCAAGTATTTGTATGCCTACACTTCTTTACTACCTCATGATAATGTAAGATCTTTAACAAACTTACTGTGAACCAATGATTTGCAAATGTACTTTTGACCAAATTATCAGTTTAGAACAGATTGTTCACTTGTTTTCCAACCAACAAGCATGAATATTCTGTGTATTTTAGCTTTAGAACTTTCTATGTGTTACTGTAAAGATTTTATACAAAATAGTTGTAACATCCACATTTTTTAGAAACTTAAATTTATATGATTTGCATGATAAGCAGTAAGACAACAGAACATGTCCTGTGAGTGAAGAAATACGGTTAAAAAAAAGTTTTAAATTTTTGTAAATGAGTCTGCCTTGGAAATTATCTGTCCTACATTTGTGCAAAAGTGTCACAGACTTGGCTCCATTTCATTCTGATAGCTGCAAAACAAGTATAACTTTTCATTAACCTGTTACGAGTAAAATTCTTCTAAAAGAATTATTTGTTCCATGTAATAACTTTCTGGAGAAGCCAAACACACTTGATCAATTTTTATTTCAAAATGTCTACAAAATTTTAATTCTCTATTATACAAGTAATTTTTCAAAATCTAGACATTATTCGAATGTAAGCCAAAGTCCTTATACAAATAGAATACACTCAAAGGTCAAAAATATACACATCTTTCAGCAAACTTTGTTACATAAATAAGAAAAATATACACAGTTGGTATTTTCAAAGTACCATTAACACTGCAAACACATATAGAAGGAACTAAAATAAAAAGAAACACTACAGCAAAGGTTAAAGAAACAACAAATTCATTTTATGACATCATCAATTATAAAGATACATATATAAATATATATCCAACCATAGGTGAAAATATACTTCACACTGGGATCTTAACTTCTACTTCACTGTGTTTATCTTTTTAGAAATATTCTCTGGATAGGTGAAATTCTATCCATGACACCTATTATAAAAGTTACAACATGCGAAAAACTCAATAATCTGGTTTGTACTCTGGGACAGATAGATGTAAAAGGAATTCTTTAAAAATTAAATTTTTATAAGCCTATGTTAAAAATCTCCAAGTAAACTGTTCTATTGGAAAGTAAATATTTCAAAGTAGGAAATGTTAAGAAAAGATTCAAACACTCAAAAAGTTTTAACACAATAAGCAATAAAGAAAAATTATGCCAGTGGTTCCTTAAAGGCAACTCAACTAGGTTTATGTTTTACCCCAGAAATTCTCCTTCCGTTTCTTAGCTCGAGCCAGAGTTTGCAACGCCCGGAGACTAGAAGCTGCAGAGCGAGCAGAAATCTCAGACAATCTGTCCTCATCTGCAATGAAAGGATCCCGAGATTATATTCAGAGCAAAAAATATATACTAAATATTATGTTTTATATAACATAAAATTAAAAGTATCAAACTGTGTATCAATGTCAAGTCATCAAGAAAAATGTAACCTATTGAAATGTAAGATACTAACATTCTCATGATAGCTCACAGTAGTCTTCCAGGTTTATTACACATAGAAATCAAACCTTTTAATGTTAAAAATTTAACATTAAATTTTTTTCCTTCCTGAAATCCCCTAATGTCATTAACTGAGCACATGGCCTATGATTTCAGTATTAGTTGAAAATAATTCATCATAATACTGTCTTATCCTACTTTAAAAAGCACAGCTATTCTGAGCAAAAAGGTTTTCTAAATTTTTTCAAAACAAAATGCTATACCATAACATGCTATTTACATTACATTTCTAATCTCACTAAATGTAGAAATAATGTTTGACTTTAACATGCTAACTTTCACTAGTACTGAAATTTCTCATTCTGGGTAAGCTAGTCTATTATAAGGTTATTTATAGAACCTATTATTCCTCCATTAGAAAGAAAACAGGACTGGATTCAAAGTTGCCAGACATTTGCATTTCAAAACATACGACCTGATTTCTAGCTCAATGAATTATAACAAAAAGTCCTAAACCTGCTAAAGGAGAGAAAGTCTTTAATGTATGATAGAGAGTATGAAATTTAAATTTACTTCCAATTCAAAATTTATAAATTCAGTAATTGTATACTTCTTAGGATGAATTAAAATAGTGATTCAATTATTCATATTGAATTCAAGTTCCTCCTGCCACTATTTATAAGCAAATAAATATCAGAATAAAAACTAAAAAAAAAAAAAAAGAAAAGAAAAATGTCAATTTTCTCTAATCATATATTTTTTTGAGCACTAAAAATTGACAAAAATATATAGGCATTTTTTAAAAGATGGATATAACGCTAGGTCAAATTCCTTAGCCCCCAGCTAGACAAGGTGGAAAAAGAGAATCAGCTGTGATGTAGGCACAATCTCTTATTACATGTTTGCCCTAGAAACAATTTTTTTTTTTAAACCACTTTACTCCCAGCTTATTCATTTGTAAATGGGAGTAATTTCACCTCCCTCACAGGGCTTCAAGGATCTAATGAAAAAACTGTGGAAGTACTTCATAAACTATATAATAAAGTGCTAATCAAATGTAAAGCCATTATACTATTATAAGCTATCACTGACTAGAACTCAAACTTTTATGTTATGTGAATACTGAAATACCTTCATCATTAAAGGCTTCATGCTGAGGTAACTGCAAATTGTTCATCCTTGCTTTTCCCACTTAAAAAAAAAAAAAGGTAGAAGAAATTATCCTTCAAATGCCACCAAACAGCTTGTCTCAATTATATACTAAATTGTTAGCAAAAGTAGACTGTCAGAAATTTTATTAATTATCAAACCTACATGTGAGTAAAGGTTTAAAAAATAAAAAAAATTATTAATTTTATATCTTAATAGAATACCGTAAAAGGGCCATTCGTAATTTATAATGCACTTAGCAAGTACGTAAACAAACTATGGATGCCCTAAAATTCCTTCCAATGATAATATTGATCTAACTTTAAAGAAATGTAGTAAGCTTCTGATTAGAGAAGATAAATATACACATTTACAAGAACAACAAACAGCGAACAAAAGGAATGGGAGCAAATAAGACGGCAAGAAACTTTTTGGAACATAGAAAGCAAATGTAAAGGCAGTGAGTGTATAATTATACCCAAGTAAGCTGACTTTTAAGCCAGCAGAAGACTGAAATCAAGAAACAACCAATTTGTTCCCCTCATGGCTGTGGGTTTGAGAGTACAGAATACCATTGAAAGTTGGAATGAGGGCAAGACTGAACTAGGAAGCTAGCTAAAAATCTTTTTACAAAAATAGTTAATATGCCAGATCCTTCTTTAAATTTGCACAGCTGGGCAATTCCCTCTTTCCCAAAAGAGGCATGCAAGTTTTGTCTCTAAAAGTTTACCAGAGCTACTGTGACTGAAGGATACCAGGTTCAACTGTGGGCAGGGGTACTATATTCAAAACAGAGGCATTATATATATCATTTACCTCTTCAAAGAGGTAAGACATACCATTCATGAAATAAGAATGGGATACTGTATAAAAGGAATATGCAATGTTTAAAACAGAAAGAGAAAAATCTTTTTAAAAAACTAACAGTATGTGGAAAGTCAAAAAGCAGACCCACCTGACCCAGCCCCCGCCTGGCTGTGCCCCTCCACCCACCCTGGTAGCTTAACACAAAGGACATAATTTTGGGGAGCTTTATAACCCTTCCCATGGTGTGAAAAGCCAGGGTATCTCCCCTGGTCAACACAGGGCAAGCTCAAATACCGCTGCTACTACTGCAGCTGGTACTCTTGCAAGCAGCACCTCCTGATTAGAGGCCAACTGACACAGTCCATTACACCATCTCTAGGTAGAATAATGCCGTGCCCAGAATAGAGAAAACCAGTGTGTGACCTCAGCTATCACCACTGCCTGCAAACAACCTAGCAAACCAGTGGTCCTGAATCTGTCTACGGGACAAGTTCATTACTATTACAACCAACATGCAAGAAAGCCAGCACTCTAACCTTATCTATAACCAAGGAATCTCAGGAGTCCCAGATCTTTCCACTGGTGGGAAATTTCTTTCAGCAGAGACACAATTGCAGTGCTAGGCTCAGCAGGGAGTCTACCCCATTACCCAATAGTCAGGCAGCCTTAGTGCTCATGAAGGGTCTTGGAGAAGGGGTCTTCTTTCCCCTCATTCACCACTGCAGACATAGCTGGGGCTTCTCCCACAGGACTCGGTATGGGTGTGCCTATAGACAACCTGTCTGGAACACCTCAGGGTGACTGCTTCCCCACAGGAGGAGCACTCCCCAGGTACAGGCTTGCATGAGAGGCATAGTCACAATTCCTATCTACTTGGAACATCAACATTCCTACAGACAAAAAGAGGTGCCTGTTTGATCTGAATAGCTGGGCCACTGAGACAGGAGTGAGGCTGGGAGGTGGATAGCTTTCCTGCTGGCTTGGCAGGGGAGGTGAGGTGGCTCCCACCCTTCACCCTGATGAGACCCCATTGCATCTAACTGAGAGCTCCTCCACCCACGTTCACCAAGGCTGTCACCTCTGCCCACCAGTGTGTATTGCATTCACCCACCTGCTTTTGTTTGCTACAGTAATTTCCTACCCAGGGATACCTCCCCTACTGGCCTGAAGCCTGAACTATCAACTCAGTAAACAAAATACTGGAAAAAAATTAGATAAATAAAAAAGTACACACCACAGGGGAATGAGATAAGCTTCAAGAGACCTCTGCCATTCCAACCCCACAGGAGACAGTGAACTTGCGCACACACTGAGTACCACAGCTACTACAACCAGCATCTGAGAAAGCCATCCTACAAAGTCTCTCTATAACCAAAGAACTTATAAAGACTCTTCACTCCTAAAAGCACCAAGAACCAAATTAAACTATAACAAATTATAATCACCAAAGTCAAATTCTTAAGAGGGGAAAAAATGAAAAAAAAAAAACAAAAACACAGTCAAATCAAAAATAAATTTGAAAACAATTAGAATAGTATACCCAAAAAAAGAAGGAACCAGAAAGTAATTTTGGCAATACGACAAAACACGGTTCTATAACATCTCCAAAAGATCACACTTGCTCCCCAGTAATGGATGCAAACCAAGATGAAATCTTTGAAATACCAGACAATGAATTCAGAAGGTTGATTATTAAGCTACTCAAGAAGCTACCAGAGAAAAGTAAAAACCAACATTAAAATTTTTTTTTTTAATTTCAGGATATAAATGAAATACTTTGCAGAGAGATAGATATCGTAATAAAAACCCAATCAGAACTTCTAGAAATAAAAAATAGAGAAATACAAAATGCAGTGCAAAGTTTCAAAAACAGGCTAGAATAAGTAGAAGATAGCTGGCATGCCAGGTACGAGGGGAAAATAAAGCAGAAAAAAGAATTTCAGAGCTCAGAGGCAAGGCTTTTGAATTAACCCAAACAAAAATAAAGAAAAAAAAATCAAAAGAAATGAACAAAGTCTCCAAGAAATATGAGATTATGTAAACAACCAAACCTAAAAATAAATGGTGACACTGAGGGAGAAGAAAAGGCTAAAAGTTTGGAAAACTTATTTGAGAAAATAATTGAGGAAAACTTCCCTGGCCTTGCCAGAGATTTAAATATTCAAATACAAGAAGCTCAATGAACTCTTAGGAACTTCATTGCAAAAAGATCATAGGCATATAGTCATCAGGTTATCTAAAGTCAATATGAAGGAAAGAATTCTGTCAGAAAAAAAAAAAAGCATCAGGTAACTTAAAAAAGCACCAGGTAACTTATAAAAGAAAAACTATCAGACTAACAACAGATATGTTTCTCAGCAGAAACCTTACAAGGCAGAAGGGATTGGGGTCCTATCTTTAGCTTCCTTAAACAGAATACCTGTCAGCAAGGAATTTTGTTAGTTTAGCAAAACTAAGTTTCTTAAATTAAGGACAAATAAAGTCTTTTTCAGAAAAACACATGCTGAGGGAATTTGTCACTACCAGACCAGCACTACAAGAAACGCTAAGGGTTCTAAATTTTGAAACAAAAGCTTGGTATGCAGCAAAACAGAACCTCCTAAAAGCTTAAAACTCACAGGGCCTATAAAACAATAACACAACAGAGAAAACAAAGTAAATAACAGCTAACATAATGAATAGAACAGTACCGTCACATCTCAATATTAACACTGAACGTAAATGGCCTAAATGCTCCATTTAAAAGACATGGAATGGCAGAATGGATTAAAAACCATAAACCAAATATCTAACACACAAAGATTCATATAAACTCATGGTAAACGGATAGGAAAAGATATCCATGCAAATGGAAACCAAAAGCAAGCTGGAGTCTTATATCAGGCAAAACAGACTTTAAAGTAACAACAATTTAAAAAAAGACAAATGTCATTATATAAAATAAAAAGCTCAATCCAACAAGAAGATACTACCGTCAGTCCTAAATTTATATGCACCTAACACTGGAGTTCCCAGATTCATAAAACACTTACTACTAGACCTAAGAAATGAGGTAGACAGCAAGATAATAATAGTAGGGGACTTCAATACACCACTGACAGCAACAGATAGATCATTGAGACAGAAAGCCAACAAAGAAACAATGGACTTAAACAGTACTCTAAAACAAATAGACTTAACAGATATTTACAAAACATTCTACCCAACAACTGCAGAATATACATTCTTCTCATCATTTCACATGGGAACATTTTCCAAAATAGACCACAGGTGCATTAAAATGCAGAATTCACCACTATAGAATATATCCATGTAACAAAAACCATCTGTACCCCAAAAGCTATTGAAATAAAAAATTTTAAAAACAGAAAAGACAGAAGATAAAATTAGTAACTTTTCAAATTAAAAGACAGAGATGAAAAATAGGAGAGGTAAGATAAAACATAAAATCATGTCCAACATCTGTATTAATAGGAGTCCTGGAAACAGGAAACAGAGAAAGGAGAAAATTTTTTATTTTTTTTTTGCCACCCAGGCTCAAGCAATTCTCATGCCTCAGCCTCCCAAGTAGCTGGAACTAAGGGCATGCGCCATCACACCAAGCTAATTTTTTTGTAGTAGAGACAGGGTTTCATCCTGTGGCCCAGGCTGGTCTCAAACTCCTGGCCTCAAGTATTCCACCTGCCTCAGCCTTCCATAGTGCTGGAATTACAGGCATGAACCACTGTGCCCGGCCAGGAGAGGGAATTTTTGACTGAATAATTCAAGAAAATGTTCCAGAAGTGAGAATTTTCCAGATTGAAAGGTCTATGGAGTACCAGCAAAATGAATAAAAAAATACCCACTCAGAGGCACATCATAAAATTTCAGAACATTAGATATGAGGAGAAGATCCTAAAAGCTGCCATAAAGAAAACACCACATATAAAAGATCCAGAATAAAAGTGGCATTCAACTTCTTAACATTAACAGTGGAAGCTAGAGGAGCTGAGCAATGCCTACTACAACTAAAGGAAAATCATGTCTGGCCGTGAATTCTACACTCAGGCAACATTTGGCAATGTGTCTGGAGACGTTTTTGGTTGCCACATACAGAGAAGGCATGCTACTGGCACCTATCTAATGGGTTCCCTCTATGTCTATAGATAAGAACTTGAGAGATATCTCACACATATATAACAGCAAAAAGCGAACTTAGGTGAAGCACAATTGGGTGTCCCAAAGAGGGATTTTTCCTATTTAAAGAAATCTCATTAATACATTAACCAAAAATAAGAAATAAGTGATTTATTAATATAAAGTGCATTCTTGGCCTTTGTACCTATCAGTATAACACTGTATTTTAAAAGACAAAAAATTAAAACGAAAATAATTACCATTGTGCTGAAACTCTGGGTCTCTAAGAGAGCCCTGAATTCGACGAGAGGGATGCCAGTAGGATGGAACATGCAGTGGAGAAGGCGACTGTCCAGGGGTATTTGTTGGGTGTTCTGGAATTTTTGAAGCTGGAACAGTTGCCTCAGTAAATTTGGGGATACTGTCTTCAGAATCTTCCCGCAAAGGCAGAGGATCAACTGTTTTTATACCAGCAGCTGGAGAAGTCAATAGGGATATTGCACGATTTTCTTTCTAAATGACAAAAAAAAAAAAGAGAGATACCTACGTGTAGATATATAAATAAATAGGCCAAACATTTAAATGCAAAAAAACAGGAGAAAATGTGAGAGAATTTATGCAACCTCAGTGTGGGAAAGATATGATACAGACAGACTTGGCTGTATAAACAAAATACGTAGACATTTTAAAAATTAAGAGAAAAATGCAGAATTTGGAAAAATATACAACCTTTATGATTGATAATGAATTATCATTGCTACATAAATGTTTCTTTAAAAGCAATAAGAAAAAATATAAATCTAATTAAAAAGTAGAAAAAGTATGAATGAGCAATTCATATACTGTACACACAAATCATAAACAGTAAACATATTCTACCTTACTAATGATCAAATAATTATAAAAAATGAAAGCAGTGAGATACTAATTTTTCACTTACCAAATTTCAAAGATTAATTTTTTAAAAAACAGTGACACCTGAGCTGGCAAGGATGTGGAAAAATTGGGAATCTCATAGAATGCTATTGGGAGTACAATCTTTCTGTGGGGCTGGCACAACATAGCAGAAGCCTTAAAATTTTGTGTTCTTTGACTTCTTTGACTATACAGTAATACTTGGGGAGTAGTTACATATACAAAATAATATAAACAAAAATGTAGCTAAAGGATGGATTTCTTTACAGTAGTTCTTCAAAACAGATTAAGAAATAACAGGAATCTAAATAACAATTAGATTTCAACAATAAGCATCTGGTTTTTAAAAACTTTGGTATAACTATAGACTGCATGTTTCCATAAAAATAAGATTATAAATATTTCATGATATGAAAATATGTTCACAAAACAGTGCTAAAAAATAATTAAACCTTTCTAGAGTATAATAAATAACCAAATATACTAACACATATATATACCTAAATACCTCAAAAATGTAACAGCAGATGTCCCTAAACAGTATATATATATGTGAGATATTTATCTTCTTTTATAGTTTGGTCAGCATTTGCTGTTTTCTACAATGCCTAAGTATCACTATCCTAAAAGTCATTAACAATTTTACTTTTTAAAAGAAGGCAGCTGGGCACGGTGGCTCACACCTGTAATCTTAACAATTTGGGAGGTCAAGGCAGGATGATCATTTCAGGCCAAGAGTTTAAGATCAGCCTGGCCAAAATGGTGAAACCGATCTCTACTAAAAATACAAAAATTAGTCGGGTGTGGTGGCACACACCTGTAATCCAGATGCTTGGGTGGCTGAGGCACAAGAATTGCTTGAGCCGAGAGACAGAGATTGCCAGAGATGGCAGTGGGTCATAATTGCATCACTGCACTCCAGCCAGGAAACAGAGACAGACTGTCTAAAAAAATACAATAAAAATAGTTCAGATGCAGTGGCTCATGCCTGTAATCCTAGCACCATGGGATGCCGAGAAGGGAGGATCACTTGAGGCCAGAAGTTGAAGACTAGCCTGGACAACGATATATCAAGACCCATCTCTATTTATATATTTAAAAAAATTAAATTAAAAGAAGGCAAGTCAGTAAAATCAAATACAGTTCCACACTTTCCTGATTATTTCTTGTAGTTGTTGCCTTCACTTATTATCTTTGATTCTATCAATGTAACATTCAAAACATTACTTTCTGAACTTAAATATCATTTTCTGTGATTGTAGAGCTTATTGCTTCAAAGGGGCGTAGGGCTGCTGTTGGTCTCAACCAATAAACATATTTCAAATTAATATCTAGGATAAAACCACAAACCTTCTACTTGCTTTCCTTTTTAAACGAGTATCACAGTACAATACAAATAATTCCAAAGAGATATTGCTTTTTTTCATTCCTTTTTCTACACATATGAACAAAATTTGTGATCTCTGTCAAATTGGTTTTACAATTGCTGAAAATACCTGAAAGAAACCTGTAAAATAAAACACACGGGGTTCCCAGGTTTAACATAACTGATTCTGTGATCTGTTTTGGGGCCTAAAACCTCAAAAGGCCAAGAGGCCTCACCGCTCTACTTAGCCCTGTGTACAGCAGTTCTCCAATGAGAAGACACAGTGATTTGATTTACCCTGTGAATCATATCATATTTGCTTTGTTGCTTCACATATTCCAGAGGTGTCCCAGCGCCATTAGAATAATATCCAAGAGAATAAGCTCCACTTCATTGTGATGAATTATCTATCTTTTTGATGTGCTGCCGGATTCAGTTTGATAATATTTTGTTGAGGATTTTTGAGTCTATGTTCATCAGGAATGTTGGCCTACAGTTTTCTTTTTTGTTGTGTCCTTGCCAGATTTTGGTATCAGAATGATACTAGTTTCATAGACTGTGTTAGGGATAAATCCCTTCTGCTCAATTTTTGGGAATAGTATTAGCACATAAACAGAATTAAAAATTGATCATCTCAGCAGATACAAAAAAAGCATTTGATAAAGTCTGATATCCCTTCATGATAAAAATCCTCAGCAAACTAGACAATGAAGGAACATTACCTCTCAAAATAGTAAGAGCCATCTATGACAAACCCACAGCCAGTATCATACTGAATGGGCGAAAGCTCGAAACATTCCCCCCTGAGAACAAGACAAGGATGCCCACTCTCACCACCTCTATCCAACATAGTACTGGAAGTCCTACCCAGAGCAATCAGGCAAGAAAAAAAACAAAAGGCATCTAAATAGAAAAAGAGGAAGTCAAATTATCTCTGTTCACTCATGATATGATTCTAAACCTAGAAAACCCTAACAATCCCTCCAAAAGAACTGCTAAATGACTTCAGTGAAGTTTCAGGATCCAAAAATCAGTGTTCAAAAATCAGTAGCATTTCTACACACCAATAATTCAGGGCAAGAACCAAATCAAGGATACAGTCCCATTACAATAGCTCCCCCAAAAATAAAGTACCTAGGAACACAGCTAACCAAGGAGATGAAAGGCCTCCACATGAACTACAAAATACTGCTGAAATAAATTATAGACGACATAAACAAATGAAAAAGCATTCCACGCTCATGGATTAGAAGAATCAATATTGTTAAAATTGCCATACTGTCCAAAGTAACTTACAGATTCGATGCAATTCCTATCAAACTACCAATGTCATTTTTTACAGAATTAGAAAAAAGTTCTAAAATTCATATGGAAGGGGAAAAAAGGGCCCAAAGCAATCCTAAGCGAAAAAAAAGAACAAAGCTGGAGGCATCACATTTCTTGACTTCAAACTCTACTATAAGGTTACAGAAACCAAAACATCATGGTACTGGCAAACAAACATATACACAGACCAATGGAACAGAAAAGAGGAACCAGAAATAAAGGCATACACCTACAGCTATCTGATCTTTAAGAAAGATGGCAAAAAATGAACAATGGAAAAAGGACACCCTATTCAATAAACAGTGTTGGGAAAACTGGCTAGCCATATGTAGAAGAATGAAATTAGACCCCTACCTCTCACCATATACAAAAATTAACTCAAGATGGATTAAAGACTTAAATGTAAGACCTCAAAGTATAAAAATCCTAGAAGAAAACCTAGAAAAAACTCTTCTGGACATTGGCCGAGGCAAGGAATTTATGGCTAAGTACTGAAAAACAAATGTAACAAAAACAAATTGACAACTGGGACTTAATTAAACTACATAGCATTTGCACAGCGAAAGAAACAATTAACAGAGTAAACAGACATCTTACAGAATGGGAGAAAATATGTGCAAATGACATATCTGACAAAGGACTAATATCCACAATCTATAAGGAACTTAACAAGAAAAAAAACAACTACCTTAAAAATTGGGCAAAGGACATGAACAGACACTTCTTAAAAGACAAAGAAGCCAACAAACATGAAAAAATGTTCAACATTGCTAATCACCAGAGATGCAAATCAAAACCATAATGAGATATCATCTCACACCAGTCAGAATGGCTACGATAAAAAAGTCAAAAAAATAACAGGTGTTGGTGTTGGCAAGGATGCAGAGAAAAGGAAATGCAACCCCTGTGGAAAACAGTATGGAAATTTCTCAAACAACTAAAATTAGAGCTACCATTCAACCCAGCAATCTCACTACTGGGTATCTACCCAAAAGAAATCATTCTATGAAAAAAGATCTTCACTTATAGGTTTAATCCAGCACTATTCACATTAGCAAACTCATGGTATCAGCATAGGTGTCCATTAACAGTGGACTGGATAAAGAAAATGTGGTACATATACACACCATAGAATACTGTGCAGCCATAAAAAAGAAAGAAATTATGTCCACTGCAACAACATGGATGCAGCTGAAGGCCATTATCCCTAAGTGAATTAACACAGAAACATTAAATCAAATACTGCATATTCTCATTTATAAGTGGGAGCTAAACAATAGGTACACACAACATAAAGATGGAAACAGACACCAGGAACTACAAAAGGGGGAAGAGAAGGAGGGGTGCAAGGGTTGAAAAACTACCTATTGAGTACAATGTTCACTATTTGGGTGATGGGTTCAATAGTAGCCCAAACCCCAGCATTACATAATATATCAATGTAACTGCATATGTATCCTCTGAATCTAAAATAAAATTCAGGCTGGCACACTGGCTCAAGCCTGTGAGCCTACCACTTTGGGAGGCCAAGAAAGGAGAACTGCTTGAGCCCAGGAGTTTCAGAACAGCATGGACAACACAGTGAGACCCCATCTCTACAAAAAAATTTCTTTTTTAATTAGCTAGGCATGGTGGCACACATCTGTGGTCCCAGCTAGTCAGATGCTAAAGTGCAAGAATTGCCTAAGCCCAGGAGGCTACAATGAGCCATGATCTCACCACTGCATTCCAGCCTGGGCAATCGAGCAAAACCTTGTCTCGAAAAGCAAAATAAATGGGCCAGAAGTGGTGGCTGTAACCTGAATTTGCAGCACTTTGGGAGGCTGAGGCAGGTGCAAAACTTGAGGTCAGGAGTTCAACACCGCCTGGCCAACACGAGGAAACCACATCTCTACTAAAAATACAA